TTCATAATCATGGACATTAAAGAAGACTCCAATATTCCTATTATATTAGGTAGACCATTCCTAGGCACTGCAGGAGCCATCATAGATGTTAAAAATGGAAAACTAACTTTCGAAGTCGGAGAAGAAAAAGTTGAATTCATCTTGTCTAAATTCTTTAAGGCACCATTCATCGATGATTCATGCTGTTTCTTAGATGTAATCAATAAATGCATAAAAGAAATGGAGAAACAACAAACCACCTGTTCAGAAGTATTGAAGATTCCTATACCTCCAATTCTCTAAGATAATAATTGGCGCCATGAATATCAAGATGAAAATATGAATGAATGCCTAGCTCTAACTCCCGATCCTATACCTTCTCCAAAGAAACCAGCCATATAACTCAAAACACTACCCACAGACCTAAGGTATAAATTCCTAGACACTGAACTTGAACGACCTGTTATAGTAAATGCAGACCTAGGACAAATAGAAACTGAAAAATTATTACATTTCCTAAGAAAATACCCAACCAATTTAGGTTATAACATCTCATATCTAAAAGGAATAAGCCCTTCAATCTTTATGCACCGTATTATGCTGGAGAAAGACTGTAAGACCTCTAGGGAACATCAAAGAAGAATCAATCCTATTCTGAGCGATGTAGTCAAAAAAGGAAGTAGAAAAGCTATTGGAAGTAGAAATCATATACCCAACATCCGACAATAAATGGGCTAGCCTATTACATGTCGTACCTAAGAAGGGAGGTGTTACAGTTGTAAGCAACGCTAAAGGAGAATCTGTAGCGCAACAAACTCAAACCGGGTGGAGAATGTGCATCGACTATAGAAAATTAAACAAATCCACTCGTAAAGATAATTTTCCTTTACCTCTCATTGATAAAATGATTGAACGACTATCTAAACACTCTCACTTCTGCTATTTAGACGGTTACTCTGGATTCTTCCAAATTCCTATTCATACTGACGACCAGGAAAAGACAACTTTCACCTGTCCTTATGGTACGTTCGCTTATCGACGAATGTCATTCGGATTACGTAATGCCCCTGCAACATTCCAGAGATGCATGATGTCCATTTTCTCTGATTTTCTAGATGGTATGATGGAAGTTTTTATGGATGAATTCTCCGTATGTGGAGAGAGTTTTGAAGGATGTTTATCGAACCTTAAAATGGTACTAAAAAGATGCGTAAGTGTCAACCTTGTGCTAAACTGGGAAAAATGCCACTTCATGGTCTGATAAGGAATTGTCTTAGGGAACATCGTATCCGATAGGGGAATTGAAGTGGATAAAGCAACGATTCAAGTAATAGAAAATCTTCATCCTCCCAAAACTGTTAGAGAAATAAGAAGTTTTCTAGGACACACTGATTTTTACCGATGTTTCATTAAAGACTTCTCCAAAATAACCAAACTTCTAACCAAACTGCTAATGAAAGATGTTGAGTTCATCTTCATCAACAAATGCTTGGACGCATTTACAACACTAAAAAAGGTGTTAACCTCGGCACCTATTATGCAACCTACTGATTGGAACAGGGCATTTGAGATAATATGCGATGCTAGTGACTATGTCGTAGGCGCATTTATAGGACAGAGAAAGGATAAAAAGCTTCATGCAATCTACTACACAAGTAGAACCCTAGATATTGCACAGACGAATTACGCCACCACAGAAAAAGAACTGTTTGTTGTTGTGTTCTCTTTAGATAAATTCTGTTCTTACTTAGTAGGAGCACAAATAATTATCTATACTGATCACGCTACAATCTGGTACCTCTTAAGTAAGAAATACGCCAAACCAAGATTACTAAGGTGGATCTTACTTCTACAAGAGTTTGATTTAGAAATCAAAGACAAGAGGGGAACTGATAATGTAGTAGCTGACCACCTATCCAGAATAGAAGGCATCAAATCTGATCATGTACCTGTCAATGATGATTTTCCTTACAAACGCCTTGTAGCCCAATTAGAATTGGAAAGTATTACCACCAAATACCCTGTGACTTATGAAGACACAGACACAAATGAAATCGTGGAAGCAGTCTACACTAAAACCATACTGCCATGGTATGCCGATTTTGTCAACTACTTAGCTGTTGGAGTGCTTCCATCGAATATATCTTATCAACAAAAGAAGAAGTTATTTCATGATATTAATCAATATTATTGGGATGAGCCTTTGCTTTTCAAGAGAGGCGCCGATGGTATTTTCTGTCGATGTGTTCCCGAAAATAAAATTGAAAACATAATTTTCCATTGCCATGTTGCTCCCTATGGAGGACATGCGAGAACTTCAAAGAGTTGCACTAAAATATTACAAGCTATCCTTTATTGGCCTAACCTGTGGAAAGATGTCCATATCGCGGTTAAAAATTGCGACCAATGCCAATGCACTGGAAACATCTCTAGACGCGACGAGATGCCTCAAAAGGAATTCTAGAAGTTAAAGCCTTTGACGTATGGGGAATTGATTTCATGGGACCCTTCCCGTCTTCCTTTGGAAATCACTACATACTTGTTGTTGTCGACTATATTTCAAAATGGATCGAGGCTGTAGCCTCTCCAACAAATGACACACAAGTAGTAGTCAGGATTTTCAAGAATATAATCTTCCCAAGATTCGGTGCACCGAGACTCGTCATCAATGACAGTGGATCCTATTTCATTTCCAAAATATTAGAAAAATTATTATTCAAGTATGGAGTCCGACATCATGTCACAACACCTTATCATCCACAAACAAGTGGGCAACTAGAGGTCTCCAACAGAGAGATTAAGCAAATCTTAGAAAAAACGGTAGCGACCTCTAGGAAAGATTGGTCATCTAAGTTACACAAAGCTCTATGGGCATATAGGTCGGCCTACAAAACTCCAATCAGAACCACGCCATTTAAATTAGTCTATGGGAAATCATGTCATCTGCCGGTAGAAATTGAACATAAAGCTTATTGGGCCATTAAGATCCTTAATTTAAATTACACCATGGCGGGTGAGAAAAGAATCTTAGATATCCACGAACTTGAAGAACTTAGATTAGACGCTTACGAGAATGCTCGAATTTATAAGGAGAGAACTAAAAAATGGCATGATAAACACATAATTAGGAAAGAATATAATGAAGGCGATATAGTGCTCCTATTTAATTCTAGACTTAAACTATTTCTGAGAAAACTTCGCTTTAGATGGTCTGGTCCTTTCGAAGTCACTAAGCTTTTTCAAAATGGCGCAGTAGAGATTAAGGAAATGTCTAGTGAACCTTTTATCGTAAATGGACAGTGTTTAAAACATTATCATTGCATCGATAATAAGGAATATTCCACAACATTTAGGCTAGATGAGATGTGTTGTACCCCAATTTTTGACCTAAGATCCCATTTTTATTTTTGCCTTTTTTAAGATAAGTCAAGGTCACGAAATACAGTCGGTTTTAACCTCTCACTTTCAAGCTTTGACTATGCGAAGATTGTCAAGTGTTTTTGAACATTTTTAGCCTATGTATCACTAATTTCTAATCGCATACAAAGGTGTATGTTCATGTTTTCTTTTGCTTCATGTGCAGAGACAGGTCTGAATCAAGAGCATCAAGTGTCGCGCCTCAATTAAGGTTTTGAGTCTCCCAAGCCAAAAGTACGGTTGATTATGGATTCTCGAAGGCTGATTCATCAAGGCACACTGTTGCACCCTAAATTTCGCCCCTAATATGTTTTAGTCGCACTTTCATATCATATTTTGTCATTTGGTCACAATCATTAGTAAATATCTTCATTCATCATATTTTGCATCATTAGTCGTATTTAAGTTGACCAGAAAAGTCAGTTTAAATCAAAGTTTGCATCGTCTTTCAGTTGTAAAATACCTGACATTTCACTTCATTCATTTTTATCTGTTTACTATTTTCTTGCATTGCTCCAAGTTGTTTATATGTCGATAATAAAATATTTCGGTTTTATAGACAGACTGTTAAAAGCGATTCGACACTATGCGGGAAATTAGCGAGAAAATATTTCAAGTTTTCACCTTTTACCGATCATTTTATGAATCTGCGTTTCGTGTAGATTATGACGGTATGCTCGCCTTATTTTTTCGATACAATTTGAAGTCTCGTTTTTAACCGTAAACATCTGTTTTAGCCCGATATTTTTATTATCATTTTATTTTGATTTCGACTTCTTGAATATTTTTTTCTTTAATCTTTGTGACATGTAGATTATTTTAATGTGTTCATTTTATTTTTTCGGATAAATTTTCGTCCGTTTTTTTTATCATTTTCGGTCATTTTTGGGTCTTTATTTTTTATTCATAAAATATTCAAAAAAATCATTTTAAATTGAGTTTTTTTTATACTTTCAAGTTTTATTTTTATTTTTGTCATTAAAGGGCTTTTTAGTCACAAAAAAATATTAAATATACTATGCTTGATTTTCATTGGTTGTTGGATGAAATTGAGGATCGATACAAAATTGCCAAAACAATATTAATCACTTTTTACCCTTATCTCTCTCTAACTTTCTATTCCTCTTTTTTCTACTTACAGTAAGCCACCATCTCTTTATCTCTTCAATCTAAACACACAAACAATGGACACACAATTAACAACACACAAACTCATCACTCACTCCAAAATAGTCACTTCCACTTCAACGTGGCTACATCAATCAATGGCCATCAAAGACAAAGAAAAGAAGCTCTTTGTTTCTCCACCAAGAAACTATGCTGCAGAACTCAAATTTCTCCTTACAACATTACTTCTTCTATGCACCATTGCCACTCTCTTTCACTTCATTCCTTCTTCTTTCACTATCTCGGCTTCTAATCTAAGACTTTACATCTCAAGAATCTCTCAAACACCTCACACCATTTCCGCCTTCCACCACTACACCCAAATCAACCACCACCATCCTCTTCCATAGAATATGCAAGAAAGATGGGAGAAGCAACACAACCAGCTACAAACAGCAACACCAACTCTTATCTCCATTCCGTTCTAAAACTCCTTCATGGCCGACCAAGATAACTCCACGCGCCGCCCTCAACGTGAAGCGAAGAAAAGAGCAGTAGCTGCACTGTGCGAGCAACGCAAACGAAAGCGCGTTGCACTCGGTGATATAACCAACGACGTCGTTTCAGAAACCGAGAAACTCGTTTCCGATACTCATAGTCACAGTCACCGGCAGAAGAAGAAGAGGAACACCGCTAAATCTCCGGTGTCGGATAAATCGGAAGATCCTCAGTTATGTGAACCATATGTTTCGGATATTCACGATTACCTTCGTAATTTGGAGGTTGATCCTAGTAAGAGGCCTTTACCTGATTATATACAGAAAGTTCAGAGGGATATTAATGCCAATATGAGGGGTGTTCTTGTGGATTGGTTAGTTGAAGTTGCAGAAGAGTACAAGCTTGTTTCGGATACGCTATATTTCCCGGTTTCTTACATTGATAGGTTTCTGTCTTTGAATGATTTGAGTAGACAGAAGTTGCAATTTCTTGGTGTTTCTTCAATGTTGATTGCTTCAAAATATGAGGAGATTAAGCCACCTGAAGTGGAGGATTTTTGTTACATTACTGACAATACATACTCTAAGGAAGAGGTTTTGAGTATGGAGGCTGAAATTTTGAAGTCTTTGAAGTTTGAGTTGGGTGGTCCTACGATAAAGACATTTCTAAGAAGATTCATCACTAAAGTTGGACAAGAGGGTGTTGATGCTTCTGAGTTGCAGTTTGAGTTTCCTTTGCTGTTATCTTGTTGAGCTCAGTTTGTTGGATTATAATTGTGTAAAGTTTTTGCCTTCTATGGTGGCTGCATCAGTTCTATTTCTAGCACGTTTCATGTTAAGCCCAAAGACTCGACCTTGGAATTCATCCATCTATCAATGCACCAGTTATAAACCTGCTGATTTGAAGGAATGTGTTCTAAACATACATGACTTGTACCTTGGTAGGAAAGGGGCCACTTTGCAAGCTGTTAGAGACAAATACAAACAACATAAGTTCAAATGTGTAGCAACAACACCATCTCCTCCAGAGATATCTCCCTCCGATTCGCATCCCCGCTGCAACAATGCGACGCCAATCGTGACCTCACAAGCCCTTCCATCGGCCAGCATTGTCCAACTATGAATCACCGGAAATCTGTTGACATCTATCACCATCCAAGTTTCGTTCCAGTAATTGCTTTTTGTCGGCATCATGTTGAAAGTGTTGTTTTTTTTTCTTTGATTTTTTTTGAAAAGAAAATGGAGACAAAGAAAAGGGAGCAGAGGAAGTGAAAGAGATGGTGAAACCTTATCCCTGTTCGGTGTTATATCAGGTAGTATTAATTTTATTTTTATTTTTCTTTCTATCACCACGTGTCGGCCTAACATTGGTCCCAAGAATTGAAGACATAGAAAAGGACTATTCGTTTGGTTTTGTTTCACAGGTACCCAATTTCTTCATGTTCCATGTTCATTTGGTTATTTTAATTATTAATTAATGTGATACAATGTCTAACAAAAAAATATATAAAAAATATTAGTAAATCTTATATTCAGATTTAGTTTAGTATTAACTTAGAGTTTTTTTTAATTTGTTTAGATCTATTTTATAACTTTAGAACTTCCAATTAGTTTAGATACATTTTGATAACTTTAGAATTTTAATTTAATCTTAGAATTTTAATCTTTAATTTAGAATTAATTTAGTTTTGATTTAAGTTAGTAATTTTATTATTAATATAGTTTAGATTAACTTAGTAATTTTATAATGAATTTAGTTTATACTTAAACTAGTTTAGATGTAATTTAGCAACTTTAGAATTAATTTAGTTTAGACCTAATTCAGTAATATTAGAGCGTTAATTTATTTTAGATTTAATTTAATAACTTTCGAATTTTTGTTAGTAACTTTAGAGTTTTAATTTAGTTTTAGTTAATAACTTCAAAATTTTATTTAATTTAGTTAGACACTTTAGAATTTAAGTTTAGTTTACTTAGTAACCTTAGAATTTCAAATTAGTTTAGATAATTTTTTAATTACACTTTTCTTTTATTCATGATTCTTCTTTGTCCATTCATTTAATTTCTTACGATTTATCTTGTTATCTACCTTGTTCGTTTCTCGTGGATTTTAATTATTTACGATTTCTTACTCGAATATTAGATCTACCTGCTTATGATTAATTCCAAGGGAAATGTTTCAACTCAGCTGACTTCATGTCATCAAATACGTCTTCTGCAATCGTGCGAATACCCCCATTCTTTTTTTTTTCTTATTTACCATTTTTCCAAACTTAAGTCGATTTTCCTAAAAGATTCAAATTTCAAACTCACACCTTTTAAGTCCAAACTTCGACACTAGGTCGTCGTATCTTCAAAATCTCGTCCACGCCTATTTTTAGCCAAACGAACCATTTTAATCAAACAAACAATTTTTAATAAAAAATAGATATTTCAAAAGGTTCCTGCGGAGTACCGCAGATGCATTGGGTGCTAATACCTTCCCATTGTATAACCAACCCCCGAACTTTAGATCTCTTTCAAAAACACATTGTATTTTTATTACTTTTAACTATTATTTTACATTGCATATTTTAGGGTTTTATTTCGCTCTTTTCCCTTTTCCCTTGGAAATAATAAAGAGCGGTGGCACTCTTGCTTTTGTGAGTCAAGTTAATTAATAGCTTGATCTCCGATTTTCACCGCTACAGAATTGGCGACTCTGCTGGGGACAGATTGACCTCTTGCTGGTCCATCCCTAAGTGGGTTAAGCCTAATTTGTTTTATCTGTTTTATCATTATTTGATTGTTTGATTATATGTATATATTATGATTATTTGGGTGTTGATAATATTTACAAAGGACAAGTCCTATACCCGGACTAAGTTACACTTAGGAATAGGACGGGCGGTATAGTCATGTTAACTTTGAGGGAGTAATCCCGAAGAAGGAGGCATGAGATCCCCCACTCAGTGGAAGGCCCTTTTGAACGTAACATTTGTTTACCGAGTAATCGGGAAGACATTATTATTTTCGACCTGGGAGCCAGAGAAGCTGGGAACCGTAGAACCCTTAACCCACCTTGGCCTTTTAGGTGTAGCGCGGAGATTATAACGGAGTAATCCGGAGGTAGTCGTCACGCGATGCTATGCTCGGATGAGTTTCTCTTGAGAATATTGCTGATTATTGAGTAATCAAGACGTTGGTAATATCCGAAGGAGGGATGTAGACTCCGGGAACTCTTAGAACCTTGTTCTACAAGTGTGATTAAACCGTTAGTACATACCTTGGGGGTGTTCCTTACCGTGACTCCATGCTCGTGACGTTGAACCTTTCGACTTTATCTGTGACCTTGCTTGTGGTTGTTGCATAGCCATGCATTCATGCATCCATAAAACCCTTTTCACTTGACTTTGAAGGAATTTGGAGGTCTTTCTTTGTAAACATCACAAGTTTCGTCAAGCTCAATGGATCTTGGGTATTGATAGGGCGAAAACCCTAATCCACCAAAATGGATGATTGATCTTGATGATAACTTGATCAATGTTTGGAGCCAATTTAAAATTCATCTTCTATCTTCATACTTTGATGTTTACAACTTAATATCTTGAGTTCTTTGAAAATCAAATAAAAACTCTCTTTTGCATACCATACATCATTCTACATTTTTTGTTTCACTTTCAAAGGTCTTTTTCCAAGTCTTATTTTTCTTTTGGTCTCACCAGTACAACACTGACGCTAAGAGAACAATGGAGAATATCAAGCAAGAGATTTCTGAACTCCGCAGAGAGGTGACTAATTTGAAAGCTAGTGTGGAGCACTTAATTGGTTTGGTTGAAATTCTGGTTGCCGCCCAAGTCAATCCTTCTAGGAGGGAGGAAGCGATGATAAAAGTCTTCACTGAAACTCTAGAATCATTCTCTCATGAGAAGGTGATGGTTAATGCACCTAATGACTTTCCTGACAAGGTGAATGTGGGAGTGCGTCTAGAAGAAGATGTCGGAAAGGGATGTTTATATGAAGATGGTAGCTCAGCTAATGGTGTGAAGAAGTTTGATAATAAATTTTCCAAGAAGAGAACCATAGGAAGAAATAATCATCGTCAGAATCATCACGTTTCTCCTATTCATCAACAGAATCAGCAAGTTCCTAATCAAAGGAAAACCCAGTTTGATCCAATTCCAATTACCTATACAGAGTTGTTCCCTATCCTGATGCAGAGGAATTTGGTTCAGACCCGACCTCCACCGAAGGTTCCTGAGAAGATACATTGGTACTACAAAGCTGATTTGGCTTGTACCTTTCATCAAGGTGCTCCTGGGCATGACTTGGAGGGTTTCTTTACTTTGAAGTTTGAGGTTCAGAAGTTGGTCAGAAGTGGTATCTTGTCATTCAAGGACGTTGGTTTTGAAGTTCAAATCAAGCATGCGCCGAAGAGTAAACACGATTGATGGTGACTTTGATTTTTGAAGGATGTTTTCGGTAATTCAAGTCCAGATGGAAAGCCTTCCCAGATTATTAACTTATATATGCTTTTTGTAATTTTTCTTGTTTATCAAAACATTGTTTGCATGTAAGAACTTGTTTGCATCTGAATGATTATCTTAATACAATGAGTATGTTTGTCTTGAAGAAATTCATTCGTTTCACTCATATTTGTTTTCAAATTTTAAATTGCTTTTGAACTATGATACCAAATTGTTTCTCATTCTCTTGCCTAGGCAGAGATTGAGGGGAGGATGATGATCTAAAGAACACAAAATCTCTGGTTGTTTGCTTTTGGATAAAATCTTGCTGATGATGTACAGACATTGTTTCAAATCCCTAAACACCGGAGATATAAGGAAGATAATCCCTTGCTAACCCCTTTTGAGCCTTGAAGTAGAAGTTTCTTTTCTATACGAAAAAACCCTCAACTTTTAACCTGGGGCAGGGTAGTTTTTAGTTAATCTGACTGAGTGTTCAAAATTCATAAGGAAGATGTTTTTTGAAGAGAAACTACGAGGGCTATCTTTCATATATAATGAAGCCAGAAGATGTGGAATCACAATGTTATCCCTCATTCATCAAGAAACGAGGCAATCACAATCTTCTCAACAAGCAAATACAAGCTAATGTCACACTTTTTGTTCAAAAAGTCAAAAATCGAGAAAAAAGAAAAAGCCTGCTAAGTCAAAAAACATGAAAACGTGTGACTTAGGAAAAATTAAGGCATCCCGCTGGACTATCAATTCAAAAGAATTAGTTCAGGAAAAAGTTAGGGAAAATAAAAATTGCAAAGAAAGGACTACAAAGAAAAGTCCTCAGCAAAGAACAAATAGGTGACTACAAACACGAAGACATGAGGGTGGTTTTTACTCCGAAAACCTCGTCGTTTCCTTAACTGTCACAAAATCCTTTTGAGAGATGAACGCTCATGTTGAATTAACTGAACATAGGATTGGAGAACATCATGAAGGGGGTGGGCACCAAATATTTTGAGCCTTAAATCTTTTTTTCTTTCTAAAACCATGAACCAGACCACATTACAACCTTCAAAAGTCCTAATTGAAGCAAGGTTATTTTGAAAGCATACTTCAATGAGATAGTGTTCCTGACTCCCATGAATGTTCTAAATAGTTATGTTGGTATCATATGTTTTTTCCTATACAAAAATAACTGATGCTCTAACTCGCAAAATTTGTGCGATATCTTTTCAAAATCTTCAAGACTTACATAACTGTTGCATTAGAATTTTCATTCTCATAATAAAATTTTCTAACTGCAAAACATTT